AATAAGTTTTTAACAGTTTTGAACTACACATACATCTCAAATCAGTGGATTTAGAAATAATTTTTTAAAAATTTTATTTGAGGACTATACGTACAGGCCGTTGCAAAATTACAAATTTGTAATGAATATGAGTATTGAACTATGGAATAAGTTTCGCAGGACCTATTTATAGTGTAGCTTTTACTTACAAGACATCTAGGCTCAGGCACACGTAGATTCCTGCTGAAGATGCATTCTAGGCATTCAATACACCATAAATCAGAATACAATGAGCAATAGATCAGAAGGAACTTGTTTTCATTGGTGAATAAGCATGACGCAACATTGTATCAACTGCGTAATTACTAAGAGCATATATCATATAGATTACACTACACATAAAAATGGATTATCGAAAAAAAGACAGAACGAAGTGACATCTACTAGCAAAATCGTCAACTGCGAAAGTGAAACAGCAAGCTGTCTATTGGAACTGCATGCCAGTTCGCATTTGACAGCCGGATAAACACTGTGGAGGTGTAGTAGCTACGGTAGTAATATAGCTTTTGACAGCTGGTAATAGTCTTATTTTAAAAGACATTATATCCTGAATAGAGGATAGGTGCTCAGCTTTCGTTCGTTGTCCTACCTGAGACCAACCCTAGACCATGCTGATGAGTGACCAAAAAGCATGAAACAGTTGTTCATGGTTTGTGGTCAGTGGTTGGACGGACAAAAGCTGTATTACTAAAAAAGAATTATGATAGCATTTTTAGATTCAAAAGAGTTACTAATCTGAGAAGTCCCGTTATTTGAACGAATTAAAGGAATACCGCTTGATACGAATTCCCACATCGCAAGTTGAATGATTCTGTAAAGCGCATGTGACTAAACCTGCTATTCCCACTAAGTGAGTTATTTCGTTGCTAATAATAAAGATACTGGACCATACGCAATCATCATAGTAATGCCAGAATACCGTCAAGGCGCCATAGCCCATGGATCATCCCAGAAGACCAGCAGCAGCAAATCATTGAAATTGACGTATTTAATACAGAATTTTGTAGTGTGTTACTACAGAGAAATAATGTGAATAATAGTTATTTATTATAAAAGTACTAGATTTTAGCTTATATTTTCCCCGTGTATAATACACAAGTTTTTTTCTGTGACAGGAAAAACGACTACTTAGTATTGAAAAATTATATTACTACAATATTTAAGTCAGAAAATTATCGGTGTGAAGTTTGAATTTCAAAATTAGTAGGCATTGTTGTACTTATAGCGACAATTAGTCCTGTGTTGCTAAGGAAACTTTTAAAGTAATCAACTAGCTGTCAATTTAATTTTGTGATTTGATCTAAAAACTGTGAACTTAGTGGTTGTTTAAAAGTTATTTTTATTACTATAAAGTAAAAAATGTCTGATTCCGAGTTTTCTCTGACTCCACCGGAATTAGTACGTAGAAGTAGCCAAAGTAACAAAAATTATTGCCAGCTAAACCGCGGAAAATTTACGAAACCGCGTATTCAAGATTCATGGAATGGAAGATGAAAAAACATGCAGTTCTTTGTCGGAGACGGTGTTATTGGTTTCTTTTTAGAAATTGTCACAACAACAAAAGCCATCAATATCCGGGAAAAAACTACTCATTTTTTCCCGGGGAAAAAGTAATTTCATAAAAAGTGACATTTTGTTATCTGTCGACATAGATAAAATGTCAAACTTTTTTCCGGTCACAAAAAAAAGAGTATAGTATTTGTTCATTGATGAATAGGCAGCGTGCACGTCTACTCAGTTTGGAGTTATGGTAACCACTTCCCGATCGTTACTCATCTAATATGTACCCCCTACATGCACTAAATGATATAGAAAATGCAATACCGACTAGAAGTGTAAAAATTTCAATCAGAAATTTCGCAAAATAGCTGAGATATCCCACATTAATGTTAATAATGTGTTGAAGCTCCTCTGTTCGCTGTGGGATCAGAGCTAGTACAAGATGGGGACGGTATGAAAACAGTCCAAAAGGCCTTATTCGGCGATAAACTGTCGCTCAGTAGTCTGTAGTAGTGTTTGACGTCCAGTACCTCTAGCTCGTCGATTTTGGCCTTATTGAAACCATGCTCGACAACATCTCAATATAGTATCTTCGTTTCGATTCACCTGATTAGCGATTTCACTAAAAGAAAATTTGGCTTCACTTAACCCGATTACTATCCGACCTCTTTCAAACTTGAGTGGCATTAGCGCGTCTTCGAACTCTAGGCATGATAATGCAATGAAACAACAATAAAACAAATGGAACCAACACAGAAAACTTACTGAATATTAGGTAAACATGATTATATTGTTCGGATCCTGATAAGATAAAAAAAGCCTTTACAAAGAAGTACGGCTCGGAATGGCTTCAACATTTCATCAGCGTATACTCTCATGATAACAAATATGTTTACAAGTTTTTATCAAAATTCAATAAATAATTCTGGATGTTGCATTTTATATGTCAGTATATTTGCAATCCTATAAAGTCTTTATTCCGTTAAGTTTATGAGAAAGATATAGAACTAAAAAATATACATGTCGATCTAGACTCGGCAGGGACGTCATGGCCCCAATGCTTAGCCACCGTTTCCTATTTGTAATGAATTTCATCAAAGCATATTCGACACATTTTTCGATTACACTCAATGCAATATGTTGCCACTTTGGTAATTTTTCTATTCGTTTCTGTTTTAGATAATGTAGCCCGCAACTTTTTGTAACAGCCAAAGCATTTTCGACGTGGTTTCCTTCCTGGGCCTATTGGTGTGCAAAAGTTGTGGGTATCGAGTGGAAGGACCATCGTCTGTGCCCCACAGCTAGTGTAGTCGATGTAAGCTACTAAAAATGTGACAATCATTAATATGTTCATTTTTATGTAACTAGTAATTCAAAATAAAGGTGACAGTCTAAAGAAGGTTAACTAATATGGTCTGCATTCGTGAATTGTTACATAGTGTACTTTGTGCTATTCTGTAACAATTTCAGCACTCCTAATTGTTTGACGTACCTGTTCCATGGTTTGGAAACAGAATAAAGTAAACCTTTTGGAACGTCAAAAGTGCACTTATCATGCTTGCGGATTTGTTTACTTTATTTGGTCATCAAAAACTGCTCAAAATTGGCGGAATATAGGTATGTTTTTCACGATAAATGGACTACCATGTATCCATAGTGTATTTTCTTATAATAAAAAAATGGTCGCAGAAAACGTGGTAAGAAATAAGTAGGCTGTCATCAAGCGTCATAACCGGAGTTCTGAAAATAAAGTTACACAGTATTCCAGAGTGAAATTTCATCTGTCAATCTACAATCCATTACTATGAACGGTATTACATTACCAACTGATTTACAAACGCACCCCTGCACTACTAATTTTCTTACTATGGCTAGCTGAGCTGCTTTCTAGTGGCCCTGTTGAGTTAATCGGAGTTACTTAGAGTAACTCAGTAGTGCTCAACACCAATACTGTTCCACTGCACGTTGTATTTTCGTGCATTGTTTTTGAAGCAGTTCGGAAGTGCATGACTTTCAAACCAAAAACCATTGGAAAGCAGCTCTGGTATCCGATGCTTGTCAGATCTGAACAATTTTAGTTTATGACAATGGCACTATGTAATAAAATAAGTAATAAAATAGTTGTAACAATTATAAAAAATATAAATTGGAGCGGTTTGGGAGCGTTTTGATAACGTAAACATTTATAGAATTGTAACCAAGCAGTAGGCTCGGAATAATTTTTAAAGCAGTACTTTGTGCTTGAAGTATGAGTCGCTTGGAAGTTCTGTGTACTCGATACCATTACAAATATGTTACAGGTGCCCTTCTGTAGTATAGTTAGCGTTTCATCATGATGCGTTCGTGTTCATTGAGGCTTTCCAGTACGATGTAAGTCTTAAGAGACCAATAGAAGCGTATACTCATACTTATATGACCATCTCGTGCGCAGGTACGCAAGGAGCACTATTTAAGCTAGAAATATTAAATATTAAAAATGTTCCACACATATAGCTTGTATAAATTAAATTTTTGATGTGAAGTAAAATACAATAAAATGCTCATTTATCACAAATATCAGTCACCAGATGGTCCAAAATATTTAGTATTTAAGAACAACTGGAGCATCGTTTTTAATATTCCATGAACATAATAAAATAGAGATCTGATACAAACAATCCTATAAGAGCTTTAGAATAGAGATTCCTAAACATGTTCTCATTGGAGAATCCTTCGACTGTATCTGCGACTAGGCATCGACGATGTAAAGAGAAATTCTAGTTGCATGCGTTGATGGAACCTGCCGTGGAACCTGCAGGATCGATTTAACGTCGGAATACTAATACCACTAATTAATATACTGAAATTAAAAAGTCAAAACAGATAATACAAAAGGTGGCTAAGGTTAAGCAGGATTACAATATTATTACATTTATTGAAAAAATGTCAACAATTGTCTCAATAGCATGATTCTAGTAATCAGGACAGTCAATATTCTCTTTACAAGATATGTGTTAAATTGGGCGTAAGAAGTTGATGATCTTATACAGTACGTTATTCTGAATAGCAATGCAACTCTAACATCATAAACCGGGCAGTACCTCGGCACCGTTGCCACTGGCTTCACATGATGCCCGAACTGTGTAATACTGGGGGTAGCATACTGTATACAATAACATATCATTCTTTAGATGTTCCTCCAGTACTAGCTCCTTCCTTCTACAATTCCCATATCCATATCGTTAGTTCGCGTATGTCGTAGCAGATGTCGCTTCAGGTGATCTTTCCGTTTCCCTCGATAAGGACAATAGTAACATGCAAACAATCGTTCTTTTCCACATTCGAATCTTCTGTGATTGTAGAGCGACTGGACATGTCTGTATGATTTATTGCAATCCCTGCATATATGGTGTCCTAAAATCAAATATGTTAGTGCGGATCAAAAATATTGACATGACAACTCCTTTTATATCTTTCGAAAGTCATACAATTTGATATAATGGTATCGTTGCTTGTTTTATATACAGTTGAGATTATACACTATTATGAAGAATTACAGACAAAGCTCAATGAAACTAAATACATATGCGATCGCCAAGCATTTAAGTGCCCTCTAAGGCTAATGGGGGGCCTTTGTTTATGTAATCATGTTAGTTATTTTTGTCACATCATCTTGCAAATTTTCTCACCTACGTAGTATTCCTCAGCTATTTTGTTATGAGTATTCGATTTGAGTTTAACGTTTGTTGATCTTCGATATAAAACGTAGCAATACCTGAAGATACAACTACAAAGTAGATGATCTGTTAAGTGAACAACAACTTCAGGGAAAGGAAAAACGGCCGCATCTCCTCGATTCCGTGGACCTGACTTAAGCAATTTTTTTACAGCACCGGCTGCCAACCAACTTTGAGGATCGACTGTAAGAGGCAAATTCAAATCTACCCACGCCACTGTTCCTCTGTTCTTCCAAGTTGTTCGATGCCCCATCTGGCGGTGTTCAAGTAAAACAAGCCGGATTGGTGAGGTATCGTTTTCTAGTTGCACCACGCCATCTCGTAAGCACTACTGTACCACCGTGCGAGGACACTTTTATACGATTTTTTGGATGAGCGCGTCCGTAAACAACAACTTGAGAGTGAGCAAAAAGGGGCGCTAGTCGGGGGATAATTCCGTGGTAAATTTATTGTAGTATTGTCGGTAAGTGAATGGAAACAACGCTTCTCCCTCACTCTATTCATGAGTGGGGACAATAGCGAGTACTATGGACCGGCTTTCACATTGTGCAATCTCCGTTAGGGAAGCGAGCTCCGCACATGGTACAGTTAGTAAGTCTGTTTACTTATTTCGTATGGCATTGTGGCGTATCCGCCAAAAAACCGTGCAAACAACTAATAATAATAATAATACATAATAATATTATTTATTTGTCTGCAATATATACACTATACTAAAAAATGTTCATATCGAGAAAAGTAAATGAAAAACCCGCAGAGAAAAAAAATACAAAATACTCTTACACTAACCACAACACAACACGAAACGGTTGTCTTTATTTTAATGTAACATACCATAATTATGCTGTGTCTCAATTTGGTTAAAACATATATGGGAATATTGTCAGTGTTTTTTGTTTACTCTCGTATTTCTACTGACTCAGTTCGAGTGAAAGTTCCATATTCTGAAATATTATTTACACAGGGTGGCCGATATGTAACTGACTGGTTTGCATCTTGAATATTGTGGAATGAAATAAAATACGTCCATTGTTTTAATCTCAATATTTTACTGAAACTTAGAAAGTCGCGCAAACCTGAGCTCTCTTGATTACATGTTCCATCACTTTTTGGTAGGTTTCGGGAGGAATATTTTCAATCGCTTCCGTTGTATTGTTCTTCAGCTGCTCTACAGTATTTGGTTTGTTGGCATATACCGTATTTTTCAAAAATCCCCATAAAAAAAAAGTCAGGACCCGTTAAATCCGGTGACATTGATGGCCAATTGACATCACCAAATCGAGAAATTAAACGTTCCGGAAATATTCATTGTTTCCCTAGCTGTGTGACAAGTTGCTCCGTCCTGCTGGAACCACTTGTTTTGCAGGTTAAATTGTTGGACTTGAGGAGCCAAGAGGCTTTGCACCATATTACGGGAGCGCTCGCCAGTGACAAACAGCGCACCAAACTGTGACTCGAAGAGGATGAAGTTGTCGTTGATGGATGCCACGAGAGTACTCTAATGCCTAGATATGACAATTCTGCTTTTTAACAAAACCGTTCATATCGAAGTGGGCTTCATCGTTCATTATCACTTGTTGGTAAAAATCGTTATTTTGGGTCACGAACTCTCTCGATATTTTCCGGAGTACGAACAGTTCGAAATCGGCCCGACCTTGGCAAGTCTTTAATTTCTCATATTTGTTCAAATTTCCGCACCAACTGACGAATTGTGTTTAAACACATTATTCAGACCGAGGCATTTTAATAATACGGGCGCGTTGTGGGTGCGTGTAACTCTCCATGATGAATTGGAGACATGTGTTTTAAACAACTACTACGGCTCCACTTACTGAAATGTGTGTATCAAAAATGGCGCGCAATTTAAATCAGTCAGTTATATATTGGCCACCCTGTATATTAAAATAATTATACATATAGTTTTTGTTTTGTTCACTTGGGTATTTCAATTATTTTTTAGATTATTAATTTTTGTGTATGAGACCTTCGTAAAGTTATTATCCATTGTTTTAATTTCTTCTAAAATACTTGATTCGTGTGTCACAATTATGCTTCGCTGTTTTCATGTTGTTTCTGTATATATGAGCATTTACCAGCATCGTGTGTAACTATAGTTGACGAATATCAAAAATATATTCTTGAAACAACAATTCTATTGGTTATAGCTTTGGCTTCTTGAATATTTGTATTATTTCCAACTTTCGAACATATGTGATATTTGCAGCTCCCCGAGAGACTTTGAGCTAGGCTATAATATAAGGAACGGAGTTGTGAAATATCCAACAATTTACTGAGATATCTGATATTGTATAGTACTGTGTGCAACTTTCCTGTCATATACTCAATGTGGGCGTCCCATCTGAGATGACAGATATATTCAGAGATATTTTATGCTTTGCACCGATACAATATCATATTTGGTGTTATATTTAAAGATTTGTAAGTAAGCAAAGTTGTTAATTCTCGGTGTTCGACAATTAAACCATTGCTCGATTTTCATAAAATCTCGTTCCTCAAGCGATTTCGCAGTTTATCAGCAAAACTAACGATAGCCCCCTCCATTTACGGCCCGTAAAGGTCTGCCAAGTATATTTTTATAAGTACAGGTCCAATCATCGTACCTTGAGGAACTCAGAACTCTAATTCCCTGCATTCGCTCAGCTCTTGATCAGTAATAGTTCCCTTAGACCTATCCTTTCCAGCACTGACAGAAGAGTTTCACCATTGACCTGTTCGGTTACATACGAAATCTTCATACAATGACAGTCCTACATTCTGATCATGTGACATTCGATTAATGTGCAAAGGAGTACAAAGTTATCTATAAAGTAACTTTTAGGAGAAAAATATCCAGACAAGGGAATGTTCGAAAACAAAGTTTTAACACATAAATAAGTATATTTCTTGAAAATACCACTTTCACAGTATACCTAAAATTACCTTACCTATGGAAAGTCCAACAAAAAGAACTCCTTTCAAGAATCCGACTAATATTATGCTTTTGTAACGTAGGTTTTCAAACCGGCAATAGTTTTATTGCATTACCTAGACGCAATAGCCAGCAACGTACGGTAATATTTTTAGCATGCCCCGGCTATAATAGCTACAAATGTTTGACGTTTCTGACCACGTTTTACACATTTCTTCAATAGCTTCATATTGGCTGGGTTATAATTGCTATATTGCAAGAAAAATATTGCCCGGTTAGAGAGCCCATAACACAAAATTTTCAGATAATTTACTATAAAATAATATAAAAACTATCTAATCAGTGGCCTATACTTAGATATCCAGATGTGAATTAAATAGATTAGTTTCTAAGCAGTAATATAAATATGCTATCAAGTGTGGCAAAACGCATCATATTGTTATTGGTGGAACATTGTACTCTCATAGTTCAGAACCCCTGTAGCACCAAACGTCAGTCATCTATTAACCGATGCATATTCTGTCAATTGTGGAAACCTAGGCGTTCGGATATCATATACAGAAACGGGCCACCCATATCGGATATAAGTTCCATAGGGTGCTGGAAATAGCGACACATCAAAAAAATGTTAGGAATATACATATATTTACTTGGCTATATTTATCTATTTCCATTGTTTATCGTATTCTACCTGAAAATATTAATCCAAATATGGCGGCCAAAAGGGGATTTGAGATATCCCAGAGCCATCTACGAGACTGTAACACAGAAGTGAATTCAGGAATCTACTTTCAGAAAGGATATAGTTTCTGGTTCTGGGACTGCCTCATAGATGGAGTTAGGACCTTTTTTGACGCCCCTCTGAGGCCTATTTTAATGCCTCAAGATACCCAATTAAAATAGGCAAAAAGGGATTATGAGGATCGTAGCGCCATCTATGAGGCAGCAGAAGAACCAGACACTCTCACTCTCTGGGATATATCTGAATTTTTTGATGTTAGTATATTTATACGCTCCAGCCCCGGTAATTCTCCATACCAGGGACCATTTAAGTATTACGTAGGTATATACTAAAGGGAATCGCTGGTCTTCGCTTTGCTTATTTTTGATGACATGGGGGATGGGGTCGTCTAGATGGTGATTACGTCAGCAATATTTGTTTACTTTTTCGGTTAATGTACAAAATTTTGACATTCAGGGATTTCCCAAATACAGATATGCTTACTCGATTAGAACCTTAGCTATAAATGCTCCTGGTAGAAATGCGTATAACCGAGTAGAGTGCAGATCGGCTCTTCTTAGTCTTGAATGACTTTTTGATATTGCTTCATGACCATTTTAGGTCTCATTTCAGTCAACAATTACTGATCATTTAGAAAGATTCAATCTCGAGTTTACTTGAAATGTATTAGTGGAGGCATGGAGTTCAATGGAATTTGATGGTTAGCATGTTACTGCAAAGTATGTTGGGCCGAGTCAGCCAGATCTTCCTGATTTTTTAGACATTAAATGGTATCCAGAACATGTGCGTGAAAGCTAATACTTGCTTCAAAATGTAAAATGTACCAAAATGTTTTCGTGAGCATAAGAGGGAGGGGGGTTGAAAAATCTAATTACATAATACTTTAACGCCACCTTAGACATATCTCACACGTCATGGATTTCCGCTTATATTTTCCCTTAAAACAAAATAACAGTTGTTCATGATCCGCGTCTGCTCCTATTCCCGACGGCGTTCCGGTCTGGGTAAGTGTTCTGGTATTAGGGGAGACCGGAGCATTGGTGGGGTACCGGGGCATTGTGGGGTAGCACCGTCATCGTTTCTTAAATAAACTGCATCATGGTGTGATACTTACGCAGCAATCAGTTTTCAGTTGCCAGTTGACCTTTGTGTGAAGTAAACGTCCTATGTCGCCGACTTTGTTTGTTCCGCAATATTTACGAAAATACGCATTTTTTTATTTATTGAGTAAAAGTTCACATTGTCACCACGTGTAAAGTGTTTGTGTCAGAAATTCCAGCGACATTTCTACCGATCGGGGGCCGTTTTAGGCTTATAATTACGTATTTACAATGACCGAATCCAATCAAAGGTAAGCCATGTTTGTTTAGATATTTAGATACGTCATATGGGGCAAAGCGGGTTAGTTCATTGGGGCAAAGTGGGGAAGTACCTGTGTCTGTATGGATACCGATGGTCTCAGTTCAGTGAAGGATGAATTAGATGCCGACAGTGTAGTCGTTGGGCACATTGCTCTTGTGCCGGAGAAGAAGATGAAGATGATGAAGCTACGCATCTTTGTGGCATGCGTACCTAACTTCGC